CATCTATTACACTATTCATAAAAGACATTTATAATGCAAGATGTAAAAGGCCTCGAATTCTTATTGTAAATATTATTTCCTCTAACAATGGAAAACATTTCCAAGTATTACTGTCAGGAGCACATGGTTTAACCTTCGATAAAGCATTCACTTGCATCACTGGGCAAAATACCAAATACAGTGAGTAGAAAGTAAGAAGAATATGTCAGTACGCCAAGTCTTGAGTAACAATAAGTTTGGCTTGGTTTATTTGACTATCGCAAAACACTCGAGGGCTATCTGTCTAAGGATGGATGCTTTCATGGAGGGCTTTCTAAAAGAACTGGATAGTATGCACGTTACCCATACGGAAACCACGGAAACGCCTATACAGGCAGCCCGTTCGCCGGGATTTGAACCCCAGACCGAACTACCAGTATTCAGCGATTTTACTACTTGGCTCTTGGTGTGCGCCATGTAAAAAACATGTTAGAAATTGAAAGACATCTGTAATAATACCATAAACAGCATTGTGTGGTACTCCAATCGCACTTTACACAAACTGGCGATAATCATGTCGTCATGTGGGTTTGTATATTGAAGCACATAGTGGTCAATTCCAGCATCTTTTGCACAAAAATATTTTTTGTTCATCCCTGTTTGTTCTATGCGTTTATATGATTTACCTGAAACAAAATAAATCAGTAGGAAAACAAATGTGCGATCTTATTAGTTGGCAGTTGGGGAACTTTAGTCGCTTTGAGCAAGTTAAGTAATGAGCTAGTAAAGTTTGAGCTAGTTTGAGCAAGTAAGCTAGTAAAGTAATGGCTTCTTTCCAGAAAGTCCGTTGACATAAAAATCGGAAAGAACTTTAAAATGCAACGGGGAATATTTAATGATTCTGCACTACGTATTTGAAAAAAAATCTCACGAGCTATTCGCTGAGGGTATAAATGTGTATTCGCAAATAAAAGAAACAAAACCATCAGTTTAAAAATAGCAACACTGCAGAGGGAATTTCATTAGAAGCAGTTAAACAGTACCTCATGGCTGGTAATTCAATTCAAAAATGCTTCTGCCTCAATAGCTTTCCACCTGTAAACTGCAATTAGAAAAATTGAAAGTTACCCGCTTTCGAATCCTCAAGTCTTATAAGAGCAATAAACAAAACCTCTCTTCGGTGTTGTTGTTAAATTTGATTTCTTAATCACAGTTTTGTTCTAAAGTTAAATGGTTTCGTTTGTTTCAATGAACTTAATTTGGCGTGCTTGAGGAAAGACACTATTTTTAGAACCAAATTTTAGATGCCGCATCATATTTCTATATAAAAAAAAAATTTTAATCAATCCCCCTACACACACACACACTCGCACATTTGGGAAGAACGGAAGAAGAAAAGTAAAAAAATTCAACACTTTTTTTTTTAGTCTAAAATGCTATAAGTCTCGAAACGCAATTTTGCGTCGTCTACTATAAATATAAATGCTTTATGATAAAATGCTACTATAAATGGCCTTTTTATTCGAATCTGTTGCCATTCGGCAAACTACGTAATTTACAAGCAATATATACGCAGTTCTTAATGTTTTTTAACTTTTTAATCTTATTGATTAAAATAAAAGTGCATTTAATTCATGATACATCTAATTACAAGTATTCAATACCTTTATAGAATAACATTATATATTTTTTCAGTTTTCAAGTATACAGAAGACATATATAACGTTCTCAAGTTAGTCTAAACGTATATCCATTTGGTATCCTATAAAATTTGTCGCTATTCTAGCTGGGCGATCTCTATCGATATCTGCTGATAAATAGTATTGAAATTTAACAAAGCCCTTTTGTGCGACCGTTAAAATATGAACGCTTTCAGACTTTTTTATCGCCCTCCCTTTTTTTGGGTGGGGGGTGGGGTAATAATTTCGAAAATACTTCCCATCATTTTCTAAAACAAAAATTTCAGATAAATAAAGAATTCCAGGGAACTCAGATTTTGTTACAGCGCATTAAGATTAGCAATAGTATGTAAATCAACGTCACGTATGAATCTGATAGATTCTTCAATGTTTTTAACTTCTTCAATGATATTAAAAATGCACTTTTTTGAAATTGCTAATATCATTTTGGATATACATTTTGAGCTGCCTTAATTAAACTAATGTTCCTGAATAAAAAATATTATTATGGAATTTTTTTAATCTTGGATAAAAAAACATTCATTTCCGGCATCCTTTATGCAAAGCCACTGTTGTCAGTTTCTTTGGCGAGCGAAACATATCTTACGCTACTAACACAACATATAACAGCTTCAAAATATTCTTTATTTTATTCAGCAATCTCTATAAACATTAATTACACGATTTATAAAGATAGATGAAATATCGAACGCGAAATCGAAAGTATTGCCGATGTTGTACTTGAATTCCTGTAAAGAATTTCCTGTTGTAACATCACTTCCTTCGATATGACGAGCAAATGAAATTAAAATTTAGTCTTGAAAACATCAATCAGTTTCCGATGACTGATATGCTAGAAACCGATGTTTGCCAAGGTAAGAACATGCTTGTAGCATACAATTCAAATGACTGATATTAAAACATAGTATATAAGACTTTTGGGATTCTTTACTCCTCTATGAAACAATATTACGTGTAAAACCCTAAAAAAGAGAAGGAAATAATTAATTTTCATTTCAGGGTGTGATAAGAACGGGCAAAACTCACCTCTAATTACACCTACGGAAATTACTAACACCACTAAGTTGTTACAGACTGCGCATCTAAAACTAATCAATCACTGTAAAGAAAGAATAGAAAAAAAAGTTCTCATATTGCATGAAATTTTGGATTCGCTAAAGTACTTATTTTCGTAGTATCAGTGTTATAGATGAAACTACAGCATTTCAAGAACCGTAAACTCTAGACATGCCTAGTGATCGAAGAAAATTAATTCAGCATCACATAAGAAAAACGATATTACAGCAGAAGTTTCGCATTTTCCTGTCATTCAAAGTTTCATTCTGATTTCCTTAAAAGTATAGCTCTTATTTTCGCAAATTTGACATAAAATATGAGTAGAAAACCTAGTATACTTTTTGACCCTAGTTTTTATACTTCATTCCAGTTATGGACTATATATTACAGAAATATATTCCGAAACAAAATTTTGTTAAACGAGAGAAAAGAACATCCGTCTTTTTGGCAGTGCGATGTAATAATGAAACTATTAGCTTTATTCATAAAAATTTTTGGACGCATAAGTCGTAAATTTAATTGCATACTAATTAATACAGACCCTATTCCGTATTAAATTATTTGCAACTGAGGTTATGGCAAAGTCTTACGATACATGCATATGGCAAAATTATATAGTTCCAAAGCATATATAAAGCATGGGTTATAACGGTAATGCGAAACAGAAAATTTCGAAGTTACTCTCTCTATATGCTGTATGATTTGAAATCATTAATGTTAAGGTTAACTGGCATTCCAAGTGACCAAGAACACAAAGAATTATGATTATTTCTATTAAGATCTACATAAGTAAAACCAATAGCCTCGCTACAGCTGTGGCATCATCCCGTCTTTTGATTGGACAAAATCGCCTCAATGCTATCTCTTTTACATTAGACTCAGGAATTCTCCAATGCAGGGGTTCTCAAAAGGTGGTACGCAAGAGAAAAATACGTGGTACACAAAGAAGCAAAGTATTTTCAGCTATTAAATTCAAAAATTAAAACCCCCAACATCCTGATTCAGTTTTTCTCTAACACTCGTAAATTTATGCGATCTCAGCTTTGTTCAAGAGTGGTAGTGTAGTAGTACTTTCTAGTGGTGGTACTAAGGGTTTTCAATTTTTATTTAGATGGTACGCATTAGTCAAACGGTTGGGAAAAATTGCTCTAATGTATTCACTCTGACTCTGGACAATCCATAGCTTAAGAACATTTAAGCACGTGCTCTGGATTTTAATAGTTTTAATTCTGTCATCCAGAAACATAAGAAAACAAAATGGTTAATTGTTTAGGTGCTAAAAGCCAAGCACCCGTAAACAAATAAATTAGATACATATGATTCCTTCCCTCCCCCTTTTTTTTACAGGAAAGTGCCTACAACTATCCATCATTCAGCATTGCGGTGAAAAACACAAATGGACGTTGCAGAAGATCTGAATGTCCCTTAAATGGGATATTAAGAATTCTTGGAAACGCTTTTTAAGCAGTAAATCAGTTAGTAGACAGCATGGTCAAATGCGACCGAGATAGTTTTCTATCACTGTCAGCTTAAAAAAATGTAAAGAGAGTCAGCTTTACACCTTCAGGAAACTAATTAGCTGTTCTACTGCTGCATGAAGGTTTCACAAGGCTGCACTTTACACGAGAAAATCAATGGTTTGTGTTTCACTCACTCCATCTTACAAATCGGCCTGTTTAAAGTGGGATCGACGTTATGTTCAATGAAGCCAAGGAGTTTTTACTGACAATTCCCATTATAACCTGAGCTGTGATTCTATACATGTTTTTTTTATCTGAAACGTGGTGAGGAAACGGTGACTTGCCTTCTCTTGCTAATGAAAAATTATTTCTCCAGTTTCACGGTTTGTAGCAGGATTACCAAAAATGGCCGCACCAAGCAGCATATAGTTAATAGAGGTTTTAATACTAACTGGACACAGATATGGGATACAGATACGAGGTACATAATATGTCTTTTAATCTGGCCGATATATATGATGTACAGATATGATATATAGTCACAGATATGGGGTTTTGGAATCCCATGTAAAGCTGTTTAAGGGCGCTGTTGGTACAAATTTTTTGCTAATGGATTACAATGCTCGTTCGCATCCCGCATCTCTGAACATTCAGAATATTTGGAAACACAAAACGTCACTTAAATGGACTGATTAACTTATTCACCAGATTCGATTCCCTATGAGTATGTGGGGGATACCTTATGCTATCGAACTGCAGCGCGCCAAATGTATCTGAGACCCTTCAGGATTTGAAAAGTGCACTTTTAGAAGAATGACGTGCAAATTCCACAAAACATGATCAGAAATTCGGCAAATTCTATAAAATTACGATGTGAGATTTGCGTTTCTGTTAGAGATGACCGTACGCCATATTAAAAAACGATTTGTTACAAAATAGAGGAGCTCAATTTTCCGTCATTTTTAAATTTTCATAAAATTAAATTTAAATGAACTATTTTGAGATAATCAACTGACAAGTATCGTAATTTATTGAAATAACGTTTATGTGTAAATTGTGTTTTTCTGTAAAATCATTTTTCAATAAGTAACAGTTAAGCTTTATTTCTATCAATAGTCTTTAATTCTGGGGAGTGGGATATTTCAGCGATATATATCTATACTCACATTATCACAGATTATTAACACTACGTTACTGCAATGGCAGTAATGTAGTGGCAGAGAATGTCATAAGAAGACGACTAATGCATTATTTGGCACTTTTAAAAGATATCACTATACAAGGCTTCTTTCAGTTCTACGGACATCTTTAAAACCATTAACAGAATTTAAAAAAAATGAACTCATATCGCATGGATTACAAATACTATAATACAAACTTCAGATATTTGAATGTCTGACTTACTGATGATGCATGGTTGCCAGCGATAAGTTTACTGCGATAACACCATTTTTCATCATAGAGAATAAAAATAAAAATTAGTTGCGTATCCATTATCTATCCCATTAATGTTGACAGTATTTAGATGTTCAAAATTAATACTTAATTACTAAATAAATTAAGAACTACTTCCCTAAGACATAAACCTATTAACTACATTTAAGCCCCTTCACACATAATATTAAAAAATATGTATAAAATGCTAGTCACAGAAGAAAACCGCTAAAACGCACACAATATTCCATAAAACTCTCACTTAGATATTTCATATATATAAATTTACTTAGAATACAGCAATAAAATAAAGACCTTAACACAAAATGAAATAAAAAAAAGTGTCTATATAAATACATATTCCATTAAAGGTACACGCCATACAATCTTTCTACTCATACAATAGTATCTAACAACAAGGTAGCAACATGTAAAGATCTACTATATCGATGAGCATAATAAATCCTTCCAAGAGTTACTATCTACGAATATCAGTCTGTTCTTCCATTTAGGCAGCAATCCTTGTCCTTGTAAATCATTCTCTCATTATTCTTAGTTCCACATATTGCAACATCATTAATAAGAGCAAGATACAGACCTTTTCCAGATGAATTAGATGATACAGACCTTTTCCAGATGAAATGTTTACTGTGACCGCTGCAAAATCAATCACCGCCTGTCCTGTCTCAGTGAACAGAAATCGAAGCATGACAACATACTAAAACAAACATATTAAGCCAGCCGGTATTTAAAAACGAATACAACTTTATGCTATGCTAAAGAATATTACACTGCAGAAATATTATTTTAACTTAGCGCTGTAGTGCTTCTTACATTTCCCCCTTTTTTGAGGGGAGCACGATAATGTCTTGCTGCAGGCTAAATCATTTGGTAGTTACAAGAGACCAACAATTTGACAGTTACTATAATTCGGTCTAATTTAAAATTAGGCGAAACAACTTCAGTATGACGTAGATTTTGAATAAAACTCTGTCGATTTCCAGGGCAGTAAGACAGAGTTTCCGTTCTTCAACAGGAGCGGTATGCAAAGTACAGTTTATATCGAAAGCAATAGCCACAGCAAACAGAACAATGAAAGGAGCGCTATTTATCGAGAAAAATAGTAATGAAATGTAAAAAACCAAGATATTAGAATCCTAGAAACGTTGGGGAAGACTGGATTGGAATTAATGTCACCAATTAAAGAAGGTAAATTTTTGCAAATATGAAAAGCTCCAGGGAATTCCAGTTCACCAACTAAAGAAGACATTCCGCACAATAAAGATAATTTTCGAAGAACCAAAATCAAAATTAAGAATTCACCTATGATTAGCTATAGAATTTACTTCTCCTTTGACAAGATATACTATAAATTCCCAAGAATTAAAGTCGGAGATGAAGTCTTTAAGAATCGAACCGTGAAATTTTACCGATAGAAAAATTATCTTAAAGTTGAACTTCTAGAAAATTCATACAATTTGGTAACTTATAGAAGTGCGGAATCGAATGCAGACAAGATTATTAATGCTACTTTTTACAGCGAAATGTCTCCTTTGAAGGCAAGCCAAAAACATTTTAAAAGGCTTTATCAATCAATGACCATGGGAGAAAATCCCTTTCAGCAGCAACTAATTTCAAATGATTCAGTCTATGACAGAGCAAAGATTCTGAAGAATAATCTTTCAAGGCGGGATATACATTGAAAATAAAAAGAAGCTATTTTTTGTTTAGCAGAGTGGCATGATTTAGCAAGAGAAGGAAAACAAACAGAAAAAGGTTTACGGTAAATATTGGTGCTGAAATCAAATTCACTACAAATAATTAATTAGAAGATCAAGGATAGGAAGGGAATTGTCAGACTTGATTTTAAAAGTGAACTTGATGACTGGATCAATCGAATTCATAACAGATAAAATCTGGACTGAATCTTCTTTACGACAATCAAAATGAGCAAATGTGTCTTCTACGTAACGACTCCAGAGTCGAAACTCTTTTTCAAATAATTAGACTTC